GTCCCCACTCTGTGCCATGTCCCCATTCCGTGCCTCGTCCCCCCTCCGTGCCACGTCCCGGTGCCAGCCCCGGTGGCAGCCCCGCGCCCCGCCCGGCCCGGCTCTGCCCCGCGGCCCCGCTCGGCCCTTCCGGCCGCTCCGGGACCGCCCGGGCCGGCTCTGCCGCTGTCCCGGCGGGGCCAAAGCCCGGCCCCGGGGCCACGCGCTGCTCCAGTTCCCGGCCCCGCTCCCGGCCCGGCCCCGCCGGGAACGGGGCCCGGCCGGGCACGTGCGGAGCCGCGTCTGTCATTTGGGGGCCCCGGGGCCGGGGGGACACGGCCGGAGTGTGGCCGTGGTGGGGGACAGGTGGAAAATGGGGGTGGAAAATTGGGGATGGAAAATGGGGATGGAAAATGGGGGTGGAAAATGGGGGTGGAAAATGGGGGTGGAAAATGGGGGTGGAAAATGGGGGGGACATTGGGGATGGACACTGGGGTGGAAAATGGGGATGGAAAATGGGGTGGACACTGGAGTGGAAATTGGGGTGGACACTGGAGTGGACATTGCGGTAGAAAATGGAGGTGGAAAATGGGGATGGAAAATGGATGGAAAACAGGGGTGGACACTGGAGTGGACATTGGGGATGGACACAGGTGGACATTGGGGTAGAAAATGGGGATGGACAATTGGGGATGGAAAATTGGGATGGACATTGAGGTGGACACTGGGGATGGAAAATGGGGGTGGAAAATGGATGGGAAACAGGGATGGACACTGCAGTGGACATTGGGGTGGACACTGGGGATGGAAAATGGGGATGGAAAATGGATGGAAAACAGGGATGGACACTGCGGTAGACATTGGGGATGGACACGGGTGGACATTGGGGTAGAAAATGGGGATGGACAATTGGGGGTGGAAAATGGGGGTGGAAAATGGGGTGGAAAATGGGGATGGACACTGGGGTGGACACTGGGGTGGAAAATGGGGCTGACACTGGGGTGGACATTGCAGTAGAAAATGGAGGTGGAAAATAGGGATGGAAAATGGATGGAAAACAGGGATGGACACTGCGGTGGACATTGGGGTAGAAAATGGGGATGGACAACTGGGGATGGAAAATTGGGATGGACATTGGGGTGGACATTGGGGATGGACATTGGGGGTGGAAAATGGGGGTGGAAAATGGATGCAAAACAGGGATGGACACTGGTGAACATTGGGGATGGACACTGGGATGGACATTGGAGTGGACATTGTGGTGGACATTGGGGATGGATGCAGGGGATGGACATTGGGGATGGAAAATGGAGATGGCAAACGGGGATGGAAAACAGGGTGGACATTGGGGATGGACACAGCAGTGGACAATAGGGATGGAAAATGGGATGGAAAGTGGGGATGGACACAGGGGATGGACACCACAGGTGGACATTGGAATGGACATTGAGGATGGACATTGGGGATGGAAAAAGGGGTGGACATTGGGGATGGACACTGGGGATGGAAAATGGGGTGGACATTGGGGTGGGCATTGGGGATGGACACCGCAGTGGACAATGGGGATGGAAAATGGAGATGGAAAACAGGGATGGAAAACGGGGTGGACGTTGGGGATGGACACTGGGGATGGACACAGCAGTGGACAATGGGGATGGAAAATGGATGGAAAATGGGGATGGACACAGGGGATGGACATTGAGGTTGGACACTGGGTGGATAATGGGGATGGAAAACAGGGATGGAAAATAGGGATGGACACTGGGGGTGACACTGGGGATGGAAAATGAGGATGGACATTGGCGTGGACACTGGGGTGACACTGCTGGTGGCACTGCTGGTGGCGCTGCTGGTGACACTGGGGATGGACACTGGGGTTGGACACTGGGGTTGGACACTGGGGTTGGAAAATGAGGATGGACATTGGTGTGGACACTGGGGTGACACTGGGGGTGACACTGCTGGTGGCACTGGGCATGGACACTGGGGTGACACTGCTGGTGGCACTGCTGGTGGCGCTGCTGGTGGCACTGGGCATGGACACTGGGGTGACACTGCTGGTGGCACTGCTGGTGACACTGGGGATGGACACTGGCGATGGACAGCAGGACCACAAGGCACAGCGAGGCCGTGGCCTGGGCCAGCTCCTGGCAGTGTCCCCACGCTGTCCCCTCATTGTCCCCACGCTGTCCCCTCATTGTCCCCACAGTGTCCCTGCGCTGTCCCCACGCTGTCCCCTCATTGTCCCCTCATTGTCCCCTCATTGTCCCCGCAGTGTCCCCACGCTGTCCCCGCAGTGTCCCCTCATTGTCCCCTCATTGTCCCCTCATTGTCCCCTCATTGTCCCCGCAGTGTCCCCGCAGTGTCCCCTCATTGTCCCCGCGCTGTCCCCGCTGTCCCCGCCCTGCCCAGCCCCGCTGTTTGCCAGCTGCCCCTGGCATTACTCAGAGCCGCTCCTGCCCTCCCCATCCCCCGCGGTGCCACCTTGGCATCCCCGAGCGACACAGGTGGCACCGGGGGACAGAGTGGCACCGACAGGGCTGGGGACAGAGCACAGTGGCACCGGGGGACAGAGTGGCACAGGGGGGACAGAGTGGCACAGGGGGGACAGAGTGGCACCGAGGGGACAGAGTGGCACCGGGGGACAGAGTGGCACAGAGGGGACAGAGTGGCACAGGGGACAGAGTGGCACCGGGGGG